TGCATATTAAATTAAAATCGTCTATAAGAGATTTATCTTATTATATGTGAAATCTATTGGGTTTAACTGTAACCCATGTTTACATTATTAATTATGCATGGCACCTATACTAATAAATATGTTAAGAAACATGGTGGATTTCAATTTCAGAAATAAAATATTGAAAGAAAAATAATAGTGGTACTTAGATGGATTACTAAAGTGTCAATGGAAGAAAAGAGGGAAAAGAGTGCAGAAAAGAAAAGAGAGGGAAAAGAAGATAGAGATGCAACTAACTCCATAACTGTAATAACTGAAAGGTATGGAAATATAATAAATGATTTGAGTCAAATGGTTCCCTCAGAAAGAAAAAAAAAAAGAGAAAAGTGTGATAGTGAAAGATGGGAAATCCATGTGATCACATGTTTCTCTGAATATCATCAACCTCAGCCTCAGGTGTCTTTCTTGACCTTTGGTTAACTCTTTTTTCTTCATTTGTAGAACTTAGATTAAATCGAGGGAAATAGTTTAGTTTGAAATTTAAGCGTCATGCATCGTGTTACACATAATAGGCGGCATGTGGTAGCTAACTAATATGATTAATAATCGTTACAAAAACAAATCACAATATAATGAAATGAAATAGGAATACATATAGCATCATTTTTAGCATTATAATATATTAAATGAATTTTAAAGGAAAGGATGTTGTTTAGGTAAACCAAAAGTAAACAAAAAAGAATGTTATTTTTTGAACTTTAATGTTATTTAGGTAAGCAATTATATACATTATTCAAAATTTTAAGCAAAAATAAATAAATTTTTATACATTATTTACTAAGTTGAATATGTTTTAAAACCAATACATGTATATTATAACCAAATCTCGCCATGGAAAAACATACAATTTCTGTTTTTCTTTTACTATATGTTATGTAGGTGAACAACTGATTTATACATACTGATAGTAGTGTATAGGTTTTTGGTTAATATTCATATCACTAGAGCCTTAGAAAACAAAAGCGAATAAAATTAAGAGTGAGCTTTTTTTGTGTGTATTTGTGCTTATCTGGTATGGATATGAGCACAAGTAATTAATCAGAAAAAAGTAATTAATCAGAAGTCTAATACTACTAATAATTTATATACATCATGGATGGAATGCTAAGTATGGCAAAGGCAAGATGTTTAAATTTTAAATTTTTATATATATAGTTCAGACCTACTTGAATTTTGTGGCTCAGTTACTATTATTATTGTTTTTGCTTCAGTAGGTGTCTTTTTTTTTGTCACAAAGCTTCAGTAGGTGTCTATTAATAAAAAAGAAATCTATATGTGGTTGTCCATTGTTATCGTTTCTTTATTTGAAAATTCTTCGATATTATATTTTTAAGTTTTTACCCTAAAAATTGACCTAAAATAAAATAATAAATAAATAATTCTATGTAAGTCTGCTTATGCACCGGTTTGTAACCGGTTTGGTGCACTCAGACTTCAGTCAAAGAGGGCCCTTGGACCAAACCAACGAAATCCATATTTGTGACCTATTTATTTATCAAGATTTTTTTTTGGCCACAAAATTGTCAAAAATTGTCTTAGTCTAGTGGTATAATTTAAAGGTTATAGTCTTTGTTAAAACAGCTGGATCAAAAACCACTGTTATTTTTGTTGATCAAGATGACGGGAGAATCAAAACCTCAATATGAGGGCAAGTGACTTAAGCACAAAGCTTTCTTTTGCCCACCCCAACTGAGAATCATGAAAACTTTATGATTCCTAAATTACCTCTCTCCATTCCATTAAACCGATCCGGTTTAAATAAGATAGAGAGACGCGCCAATTACCGTTCGTTAGTGGGCCAATTGTTTTATACTAATGGGCCAAACTGTTTTATACTAATGGGCTCCATTTGAAGATTACTAATGATTATTTCAGAAACCCCATTTCCGCCTCCGTCTTCCTTCTCCGTCCGTCCAAACCCAATGGCGGGGTTCAGTTCTCTAATTCCTCTGAAACGCGCCGTTGCTAGAGCAACCGGAAAAAACCTAACGGCGCCGTTAGCTACTGTTTCCTCCGCACGAAACCTCTTCACTGGAGGAGGAAGTAATGGTTAGTTATTGCTGATAAAATTCGTTTTACACAGTCATCATGATTCTGTTAAATGAATTCGAACTTTGATCTGATTTGAATCTTAGTTAAACGTTCGGTATCTCTATATCATATGATTTAGAAAGACTTTGGTGAGTTCTATTAATTTTGAAAGTTTATTTGTTGAAGGTGAGCAAGGAATGTTTTCTCATTTCAATGGAATAAGGTATAAATATAATTATTGAATTGAGTTAATCAGCAAGATTTTTTTGTTCAGTCATATCACGTGTTGGCTCTGACGATGCTTTTTTTTTTACCGCTCTTTTTTTTTTTTTTTTTTGCAGTAATCATCACATAGCCATTCGTACAAGTTCATTTCATCATCTTCTTGGGGTAAGTTTGTCACCTTTGAAATGTTTATTTTTATTTTTTGGTCTTAAACTTCGGAAAAAAAAACTATTTGTATACATTTCATTGTGCTATTTTTTTTCAGGGAAATCAAACAAGCAAGCCTGTTTTTTTAAGGGTCCAGTCGATGAGCTATCAGTTTGTGGCTGATTCGCATGTATCTCATAGACGTTCTTCTGAAACTGAGGTGATGATATAGACTACACTGGAGAGATTTGGCTATGTGTGTTTGTTTCCCTAGTCTTAGAGTGAGCTTTTCTTTTCAGACAGGTCTTATAGATATTCAACTGCATATAATATAATAAGCTATACCACGTGTATAATATATTCTCCTGGCCTGTTGCTCTCTGTAGATTCGTATAGTCAAATACAAAACTGACATTTCTAATGATCAAAATAATTTCTTTGATCCATTGGTTTGCAGTTTCCTTAGAATCCTTTCTCTCATTGTTTATTCTTGCGTTACTTGTCACTAACGAGATCCTTGGAATCCGTATTTTTCATCTTGGTGTAGGATGAGCAAGATGTTACAGATTCATCAAAAGAGGAAAAGGCTGAAACCCCTAGGAAGCATCAAACTGGGGAGAACATACCTAAGAAGGATAAAATAAAGTTTCTTGTGAATACCGTAAGCAAAAAAAAAAATGTTGAAATTCTTCAGATATGCCGTTTGCGTTTACTAATGGTTTTTCAGTGATGGGAATTTACACTTTCTTGTTTGTATTGTCATTGACTTATCTGTACAAACTGCAGCTTCTTGATATAGAAGATAATAAAGAGGCTGTTTATGGAGCTCTGGATGCTTGGGTTGCTTGGGAGCGCAATTTCCCCATTGCTTCCCTCAAAAGAGTAATAGCTATTCTTGAAAAGGAACATCAGTGGCATCGAATGGTTCAGGTATGTGTCACCCAAATGCATCTCCCTTCTTTTCTCCTATTCGAGACTCATGAACCTTGAGTAATCAAACACCGGAGTACATATCCTCTAGTTTATAGTAACTAAAAAAGTAGAATAGAATCTGGAAGAGATTTTTTTTTTTCTTCTCATGTTTACTGGCTTGTAGGTAATAAAATGGATTCTAAGTAAGGGACAAGGGAACACGATGGGGACATATGGACAGTTGATACGGGCGTTGGATATGGATAGTAGAGCAGAAGAGGCACATGCAATCTGGCGTAAGAAAGTCGGAAATGATCTGCATTCGGTGCCTTGGCAATTATGCTTTCAGATGATTCGCATATATTTCAGGAACAACATGTTACAAGAGCTTGTAAAGGTCTGTTTTTCTTCTCCTTGCTATTTGCAATTATCTTCTTAACTTTGTTCCTCATCACTGATCCAACACTAAATTGCTCATCGATACTTAACTGACCTAGTAAGGTATTATGTCCTAGTTTTTTATTTCGTCCTAACCTTGAATCTGTGTTGTGTTTTGGGTTATGAAGTTGTTTAAGGATCTGGAGAGTTATGACCGTAAGCCTACAGATAACAAGATTGTGCAGTCAGTGGCGGACGCTTACGAGCTTTTAGGAATGCTTGAGGAGAAAGAAAGAGTATTGACTAAGTATAGCAATCTGTTTCTCGGTACAGCATCAGATGATAAATCAAGAAGAAGATCTTCAAGGAAGAAGAAGAAACCAGGTAGGTGATAGATGATGAATAATATCCTCAACCATCTAAAGCCATTTGATGTTTCTTGCACAAAACCGCATGATTTTGTAACTGATTAGATTTTGATTTCAGGAGTGATGAATCCTGAAGCAACCACAGAGGATGCAGCAGAAGATGAGTTACAAGAAGGGATCAAAGAAAATGTCGAGAATCACCAAGAAGCAGAAGCTGCCACTGAGAAACGATCCGAACATGAAGCATAAGCTGTGTACTCGCTAGTATTAGTAAGGATTCCTCCCAAGGATCCGTCATTGCGGATGCTCTAAGACTGTATCGACTGAACTTGAACATATTTTGGCCTTGAATAATACGTCACTCTACAACTAGAGTGAAAACATAAATTCTCTTAACCAGCGGTTCGATATTTAATCAAAATCGTTAGTTTCAGATTTTTCGGTTATTGGGAAACTTTTTGGTTTGGTTTAAGCCTTTACCTTACGCACTCAAGAGCAAACGTCACTCAGACACAACAACACCTAAAGTTGCAGTTTAGGTAATCAACGAAAGAGACAGCACTCGTTGCCACCTCGTCAACACTAGAATCCTATTTGAAAAGAAACGTTTCTTCTTTTAGATCGTCTTTTGCAAGTTCAAGTCTACAAACCAATTTCTGACCATCACCTCTTGATACAGCATCGCGTTGTTACTCATCTATACGTAGCAAACTCTTCTACAATTAGCACTGACGTTTTGTATGGACTTTCTCTACATACCTTAGTGTCCACTTTCCCACTTTCAATTTTTCCGTATCGTGTCGAAATTGATGTGTCACACTATAAAGAACCTGTTTTTCAGGTCACCGCGCTCGCAGTTCCTAGAAAAGATTAGCTAATTATTGTTAGTGTGGCAAGAAAATGGCGTGTGGAGATTTGGTGTTTGCTGTTAATGGAGAGAAATTTGAAGTATTATCTGTTCATCCTTCTACTACTTTGCTTGAGTTCTTGCGTTCCAGCACTCCCTTTAAGAGCTCCAAGCTCAGCTGTGGCGAAGGTACACATACAGACCCACACACTGTCAGTTTTCTAATGTATATTGTTATCTTTTTCATGCTTTTATTTGGTTTGTATATATCATGCACTTTCATGCTGGAACCTCAGATTCATATATAGAAGCTTCTTTTGATTATATATGAAAATTTTGTATGACCTTGAGGATCAAAACTAGTGTCTCCACACAGAAATAAATACATGATTTTATTGTTGAATCTGGTAAACAATTAGACGAACTGTTATAATCATGTCTCCTTGTTCTTTTCTTTCCTGAAGTCGATCCCTATGCGTTATTGAAGTTTGGTGTTCATGTTCAAAACTGAGACGAGGACTAGAACATGTTTTTTTCCTCTGTTTCAATGTTTCATGTTGTCTTAGTTAGAACCTAGTTTTCTGAGTGTGCGTGCGTGTGTATGTTTCACTCGCTGACTCTGTTAGATTTCTCGTGCAGGGGGTTGTGGTGCTTGCATCGTGATTCTATCAAAATACGATCCAGTGTCAGACAAAGTCGAGGAGTATTCTATAAACTCTTGCCTCACCCTTCTTTGCAGCATAAATGAATGTTCCATAACCACCTCGGACGGACTAGGAAACACTGAAAAAGGTTTCCACCCAATCCACAAAAGATTCGCGGGGTTCCACGCCTCACAATGTGGTTTTTGCACCCCGGGGATGTGCATCTCTCTTTACTCCGCTCTTTCAAACGCACATAATAACTCACAAAATCCTCCGGACTACCTCACTTCTTCTGCAGCAGAGAAGTCTATCTCCGGAAACCTCTGTCGCTGCACCGGTTACCGTCCCATTGCTGATGCTTGCAAGAGTTTTGCTGCAGATGTGGACATAGAAGATTTGGGTTTTAACTCTTTTTGGAAGAAAGGGGAAAGCAGAGAAGAGATGTTGAAGAAGTTGCCTCCTTACAATCCTGATAAAGATCTTGTCGCTTTTCCGGAGTTCTTGAAGGAAAAGATAAAGCGTCAACGTAATGTTTTGGATGAGTCAAGGTATCATTGGAGCACTCCTGGTAGCGTCGAGGAGCTTCAGGAGATATTGGCAACAACAACCAACCCTGGTGGTGATAGAGGTTTGGTGAAACTAGTTGTTGGTAACACGGGAACAGGTTACTACAAAGAAGAGAAACAATATGGTAGATATATTGATATCAGCCACGTTCCAGAGATGTCAATGATCAAGAAAGATGACAGAGGAATTGAAATTGGAGCAGTTGTTACCATATCTAAAGTTATCGATGCTTTGATGGATGAAGATACGTCTGGTTATGTTTTCAAGAAAATAGGTATTCATATGGAGAAGGTAGCCAACCATTTTATCAGAAACTCAGGGAGTATCGGTGGTAATCTGGTGATGGCACAGAGCAAAAACTTTCCTTCTGACATCACCACACTTTTGCTGGCTGCAGATGCGTCTGTGCTTATGGTAAATGTTGGGAGACACGAGAAGCGTAGGGTAGGAGAGTTTCTTGTGTCGCCTCCAGTAATAGACACTAAAACTGTTCTTTTAAAAGTTCAGATTCCTAGCTGGACTGCTTCTTCAACTACTGGTTTACTCTTCGAAACCTATCGAGCTGCACCTCGCCCTTTCGGAAGTGCATTGCCTTATCTCAACGCTGCTTTCTTAGCAGTAGTCTCTCACGATGCTGCATCATCAAGAGGCGTCGTTGTGGAGAAATGCCGCTTGGCGTTTGGTTCTTTTGGTGGGTATCATTCAATCAGGGCGAGGGAGGTTGAGGATTTCCTGACGGGTAAAGTACTCAGCCACAGTGTTTTATTTGAAGCTGCGAGGTTACTTAAAGGGATCATAGTGCCAAGCATAGATACCTCATACACTGAGTATAAAAAAAGCTTGGCTGTTGGGTTTCTCTTTGATTTTCTCTATCCTCTGATCGATAGTGGTAGCTGGGATTCAGAAAGAAAGCATGTAGATGGACACGTTGATCCAACGTTATCTCTGCCTTCGCTTTCATCTGCACAACAAGTGTTTGAAAGTAAAGAGTTTCAACCTGTTGGTGAAGCCATTATCAAATATGGAGCTGAAATGCAGGCATCTGGTTAGTTCCTTTTATTGTTCTTTGGCCACTATTTTTTTTTAATATAACATGAGAGTCTGTCTTTTCAGGTGAAGCTGTTTACGTTGATGATATTCCATCCTTACCCAATTGTCTACATGGAGCATTCATTTATAGCACAAAGGCATTGGCTAGGATAAAGAGCATTGGTTTCAGAGGAGATGTGATACCGGTTGGAGTTTTGTCAGTTATTACTTTCAAGGATATTCCTCAAGCGGGGCAAAACGTTGGTTACATATCTATGTTTGGCACAGGGCTTCTATTTGCAGAGGAAGTTACTATCTCTGCCGGACAAATAATTGCTCTTGTGGTAAGTCTAATTTCTAGCATCTTCTTTTGTGTTTGTCTGTCTTTCTTGAAGATTAGTTCATTTTTGGTGACGTCTCAGGTTGCAGACACGCAAAAACATGCAGACTTGGCAGTAAAGCTTGCAGAAGTTGAGTACGATTTAAAGGACATAGAAACACCAGTCTTATCTGTGGAGGATGCAGTCAACAGGTCCAGCTTTTTTGAGGTTCCTTCCGAGTACAAACCCGAACCCGTTGGCGATGTTTCAGAAGGAATGGCTGAAGCTGATCGAAAGATACGCTCAGTAGAGGTACTAGAACTCTCTTTCTCTCTTCATTTCAATCTATTTAAAGTTTTAAAACATTCTTACACTCATGTTTTCTGTTGGATTCGGTTATGCAGTTGAGACTCGGGTCACAATACTTCTTCTATATGGAGACACAAACGTCACTTGCCTTGCCAGATGAAGACAAATATTTATCGGTTTACAGTTCAACTCAAGCAACCGAGTTCACTCAAGCAGTGATTGCTACATGTCTCGGCATCCCAGAGAAGAACGTGAGAGTCATCACCAGAAGACTTGGAGGTGGCTTTGGTGGAAAAGCTATAAAGTCAATGCCTGTAAGTGTACTACTTCTTTTCTTGATTCAAGTCATTAAGAGTGTAACAAGAGACCTGTCTTGTCCATTGTCAGGTTGCGACAGCATGTGCACTTGCTGCACAAAAATTACAGCGCCCTGTAAGGATTTACCTAAACCGCAAGACTGATATGATAACGGTTGGAGGAAGGCATCCGATGAAAATAACTTACAGTGTTGGTTTCAGATCTGACGGTAAATTCACAGCACTAGAAGCAACTGTATCAATAGATGCAGGGATAGATGTAGATGTAAGTCCAATACTACCATATAATCTAGTGAACTCTCTGAAGAAATATGACTGGGGTGCATTGTCATTTGACATCAAAGTGTGTAAAACAAACCGTCCGAGCAGAACGTCTTTAAGAGCACCTGGTGAGGTACAAGGCTCATATATCGCTGAATCCATCGTTGAGAATGTAGCATGTTCTCTGAACATGGACGTGGATGTGGTGAGAAGGATAAACTTTCACACTTACGAAAGCCTCAAAAAGTCTTATAAGGAAGCTGCTGGTGAGAGTGATGAGTATACTTTACCTTTGTTATGGGACAAACTTGAGATATCTTCAGATTTCAAGAGAAGAGCTGAGTCAGTGAAGGAGTTTAACGTTTGTAATGTGTGGCGCAAAAGGGGGATTTCTAGAGTACCTATCGTGTACCACGTAAAGAATAGGCCAACTCCAGGAAGAGTGAGCATTTTGGGAGATGGTTCGGTTGTGGTGGAGGTTGCGGGTATTGAGATGGGGCAAGGGTTATGGACAAAAGTGCAACAGATGGTGGCTTATGGTCTTGGTATGATCAAGTGTGAAGGAAGTCAAGATCTTCTTGAGAGAATACGGCTTCTGCAGACAGATACTCTCAGTATGACTCAGACTAGTTACACTGCGGGTAGCACAACATCGGAGAATTGTTGTGAAGCAGTTAGGCTTTGTTGTGATATCTTGGTGCAGAGGTTGGAAGTTATTATGAATGAGATTCTGGAGAATGCTAGATCTGTGACATGGGACATGCTCGTTCAACAGGTATATAACTTAAATTACCTTAACATCATTCTCAGTCTATGTTAATTGAGTTTATGAGGAAAAAACTGCAGGCAAATGCTCAATCTGTGGACTTATCAGCGCGTACTTTTTATAAGCCAGAGACCTCTTCTGCTAATTATCTAAACTATGGAGTTGGAGCTAGTGAGGTGAATCTTATAACTGATAGTAGTTTTAGCCGTTCCTTTAAAACTAAATCAATAACATACACTGTGGTGTAGGTGGAGGTGGACATTGTGACAGGAAGAACAGAAATTATAAGATCAGATATCATTTATGACTGTGGAAGAAGCCTTAATCCTGCTGTTGATTTAGGACAGGTAATAAGTTTGGTTGTGGATTCTTGATGTGTATTTAAAGTTTTATTGATTGTCTTTTTTTTCTGATGTGAAGATTGAAGGAGCGTTTGTGCAAGGGATTGGTTTTTTCATGTATGAAGAGTACACAACAGATGAAAACGGGCTAGTGATTCAAGAAGGCACATGGGACTACAAAATCCCTACAATAGACACAATCCCAAAACAATTCAACGTTCAGATTCTCAACAGTGGTCATCACAAGAACCGTGTTCTCTCCTCTAAAGGTTGTTTAACTAGAAATCAAAATGAGTTTTGTTTTTTCTCAAAAAGGTTGTAAGGCTGAATCTGTCTCCAACTTCTTCCTGATGCAGCTTCAGGTGAACCTCCGTTGCTAGGGGCTTCTTCTGTGCATTGTGCTACAAGGTCAGCCATAAGAGAAGCTCGGAAACAGTACTTTTCGTGGAAGTGCGTTAGTGGTGATCGCAGAGATGATTCTGATCTTGGTTTTGAGTTGCCGGTTCCAGCGATTATGCCAGTGGTGAAGCAGCTTTGTGGTCTTGACAGTGTTGAGAAGTACTTAGAATGGAAAACGTATCCTTAAAAGACTACTTTGATATATATATATATGTGTATATGATTATCGTTTCACTGGATTTCAGTTTTTTTTTACAAAAGTTATAGTATTGACATGAATATAAATTACATGTAAGTTGCATTAAAATACAACAATGTTCAATAACATCTCCTAAATATCTCCAAAGTGTAAAAGCAAAGAAGTCGGTTCTGATATTATTTATATTCCGTTTAGATATTATATTTGTAGTAAGGTATAAGTATATACGTATATTCAACAACCATGTGAATAACCAATAACTAGTTGTAAATTGTAAACCACATAACTCATGTCCCTATTAGAGAGTGTTGTGGTTGTGGTCATTACTTGTTACCGACGTACCGTTCAACACTTCAACCTATGGAAGGAACAAAGTCTAGAAAACAAAATTGTGTACTAGTGATCAACTTTTACGGGTCGACTTAAAAAAATAAAATAAAACTCAATTTATTCTTTTTGTGAAACTAAACTAATAACAGAACTTTAGTGACAAGTCACAATCAGATGTGACCTTCAAATTTCATAGGACAGTCGATTTTTCTGTGGGTCCCTTAAAAAGAAAACCTTAATAATCAATCTCTAAAGTCATTAACAACCGTTGGTTTTGGTTAATTAGGTTTAGAATCTTATTTTGATTATCTGTGGAAGATAAGTATATTAAACTGTAATTAGCTTTTAAGAGTTCTTGTCTCCTTCTTAATTGCTTCTCGATTCCTCTTCCCTTCAAAATATCAATTTCTTTTATTTTCTTTTTCTTGTTTGTTTCGAAATTGAGAAAAACTCTGTTTCGTCTCCTTCCTCAATTCAACGATCCCTAAGAGTTTGCACCCAAAGTTACATAAACACCCCACCGTTACATACGAAGCATGTGACAACATTTCTTCTTCGTCTCTCTTAAGCAAAACCCAAACCTTTCTCCTTTCTCATCCTCTGTTTTCATTTCTCTGAAACACATAGAAACCTTTTTAAGATTTCATCATGATAAATCTATTGTTATCATCAATCCAAAACTCCCCAACCACGTTCTTGAAACCACCATTTTCATTCTTTAACACGAAACTACAACAAAAACAAGAGAAGCAGAACCTTTTCATTGTAGAAACCAAATCAAGAAGAGCTACAACCTTCGCATGTCTCTCCATATCCAGAAAAAGAAGAAGCAACGGTGTTTCTGAATCTGAAGAAACTGTAAGGTATGAACAAATGGGTGGTGGAGGTATCTCTGCTTTGTGTGGGTTAGGTTATTGGGTGCAGGGCTCGAGATGTTTCCCATGGCTTGCACTTAACTTCCACATGGTTCACACCTTGGGACTCCAACCATCTACCCTTCAGCTTGTGCAGTACTCTTGCCTTCTTCCTATGGTGGCTAAACCTCTCTATGGAGTTCTCTCAGATGTTCTTTACATCGGTTGTGGTCGCAGAGTTCCTTACATCTCCATTGGAGGTTAGTTTATACCACAATCTCTCTAATCTCTCTCTTTGTGAAATCGTTAAGAAATCGCCTTAGGTCTCTTTGTGAAATCGTTAAGAAATCGTCTTATCGTTAAGAAATCGCCTTAGGTCTCTTTGTGAAATCGTTAAGAAATCGTCTTAGGCTCTGGCTCCAAAAACGAACACATATAATAAAGATTTTTACAATTTTTAAAAATAAATTTGGAGACCTATATTATTTATTTTGAAGGTTATAGGCAATTTATAAAAGATTTTTAACAAATTTATATAATTTTTTTTCATAACTTTTAGAGTTTATAAACTAATGTTTCACTAGTTTATGCACAGGGCCATGTCTGAATATTTTGAATGTGGTTAGTGTGTCTGCAGGTATTAGCATGGGGTTCAATGGCAATATTCCAAGGAGCTAGAGAGGTTCTTCCTTCTCTTATAGCATGTGCACTGCTTAGTAACCTTGGAGCATCCATCACCGAGGTTGCAAAAGATGCTCTAGTTGCTGAATACGGTTTAAGATACAGAATAAACGGTCTACAGTCTTATGCCCTCATGGCTTCAGCAGCTGGTGGTGTACTAGGAAACTTGCTTGGTGGATATCTCTTACTCAGAACACCTCCTAAGATCTCCTTTCTTGTCTTCTCCGCGGTCTTGTCTCTCCAGCTTCTTGTCTCTTTTTCTTCTAAAGAAGAATCTTTTGGTTTGCCAAGGAAGACAGAGACAAGCTCGGTGTTGGTGAGTGTGAAGAAACAGTTGTCTAATCTCATGGAAGCTATTCAGGAAGAAGAAATCTCACAGCCTATGATTTGGGCAGTTGCGTCCATCTCAATGGTTCCACTTCTTTCAGGGTCAGTGTTCTGTTACCAAACGCAAGTTCTAAACCTTGATCCTTCGGTTATAGGAACTTCCAAAGTGATTGGACAAGTGGTACTTCTTTTTCTAACTGTTGTCTACGACCGATACTTAAAGACACTCCCCATGAGACCTTTGATCCATATAGTCCAGCTCTTGTACGCATTATCCATCCTCCTCGACTATGTTTTAGTGAAGCAAATAAACCTCGGAGTAGGTATCTCCAACGAGGTCTTTGTTCTCTGTTTCTCTAGCTTAGCAGAGATTCTTGCACAGTTCAAGATCCTCCCCTTTGCAGTCAGATTAGCTAACATGTGTCCTCAGGGATGTGAAGGATCGGTCACATCGTTTCTCGCTTCATCTCTGTGTTTATCACAGATTGTTAGTGCTTTCTTAGGCGTTGGATTAGCTAATGTAATCGGTGTCACGTCTAGTAACTATTCAAACTTGTCTTCAGGGATTATAGTACAGTCTTTAGCAGCTTTGGTGCCTTTGTGTTTCATGCATTTAGTACCAATGTCAGAGCCTGTGATTGAGAAGGGAGTAAAAAGAAGTTCAAGTACGAGAAGTACTAGGAGAAGTAAAAGAGTTGGGAGAGTAATACGTCAAGAAAGTATAGTTTATCGACGAGGAAGAGAATCAGAAGAAGCACAAAGATAGCGTTTAGATCACACATTAGAATAATGTATATATATGTTGTTTATAATGAGATTTTTGTTCCTATGATTCGCAAAAGAAAACACAAATCCATAAACTACAAAGTCACATTATTACATAAACCCATAAGGTAAAAAAAAGGAACCTACATGTTTATCATAACTTATTATCCAAATTTATAAGATTATACAAAAGCACTAGAAGGACTCTAAACGGCCATAGTGGTTGTTCCAACACCAGCTTTGTGCTCGCCTGCATGAGTGCCAGGTACATGACCATGAGGTCCATGACCTTGACCTGTAGCGTAGTCACGATCTCTATAACCAGGACCATACTTGCTGCTGAATACACCAGCATGGATCAGCAAGACGTAAAGCAACTGTGTGAACGTTAGGATTATGATAAAGGCTTCAATGATCCTCAACCTCCACCCTCTCCATCCTCCTATGTTTATTTGCTTGCATGCCAACCTTAGTCCACCCCAATAATAATTAATAATAAACAAAATGATGTTGAATGTGAAAAGATATAAAGATTACATAAATATATTACCCCATGGCAAGAGCAGTGATGGCCCATGCAACTAGAGAGGAAGAGCCTGCGGCTGCAAGACTATCATTCCTCCAGAACCTTATATGGTTAGCTCCCGCCAGCTTCGATGCTATGCCTATAACCGCTGCTAAAATCGAAAACGTCAAGAAGAAGGATGTTGCTCCATTGCCTCCAAAGCCTAGTTTAGTTAACAGAACGTTAGTAACAATACTAATGATCATATATATATATATACAAATAGAGAGAGAGATTCAGATACTTGGGTGATGAGTTTGGCCGTTGATGTATCTGTTGAGACACCAACTAGCGAAACCAAGTACAATAGTGTACATGATCAGATTCAAGAACAGTAATGGTGCTGCTATGTTTCTTCCCACCGTCGCCATTTTGTTTTTTTTACTTCTTTGCTATACGCTTATCCAAATCCAACAAAAGCTTTTTACTTATTCGGTGATGATCGGTTTTGAGGTGTTATGTTACATTGTTTTTATATACACGAAGCTTTAGACCGTTTGATGTTAAGGAACACGTGGCATGGACAGAGGAGCTTGTGTGTTTAGGTGGTAACAGGTGGTTGAACACGTGCCGCGAGGTTGGTCCAAAGTGTTGGATATAGCCAGTGTTGTCACTGCGCTCGATTCTCAATTGATATCTTTATATTATCTCCTTATGTTTTTTATCATATTAAATGTTTTAGGCTACCATATTGTCAGTAAAGTATTTATAAAAATTCGCCTGGAGTTAATTAACATGCTAATATATAGGAGAGCCATATACTGGTGGGGCAAATATTTTTAACTATTGATTGACTATGTGATCTTGGTCATTTACTCAAAGTTGTTTGGTGTAAACAAGTTTGTGAAGTTCAATGTAGGAAACATTACATGTTTAGACCCTTTCATTTCAAGCATTGCGTCTGTATTACACTATACGAATGTTGTCTGAGACATAATGTTATGTAGTAACAGTAGCCATGATAATTTGATATCTTCTTGATGGTTAGTACCCCCTTGGTTAGTACTAGTGTCTTTTATGATGTTTTGGATGAAGAAAGACCTCCTGTTTTCCCAAGATCACGTTGTCTTGCTCGTTCCATTTTCCGCTTTCGCCATTCTTCCAACGCTATACAACAGATCAAAACCTCTTTATATGTAGTTATGTTTAGCTTGATAAAAGAGATTACGGTGTGGTTTGTTGCCATTTGTTACCTTTCAAGCTCGAGGCATCATTTAGCGAGCGGAAATCTTTGAGGCGTTTAGATAGATCAACGGCTGTGTTCTGCTTCACATCTTTCTCCTGCTCTGTTTCTTGTCCTCCAGATGATTCCTGTTCGATTTCTCGGACCTATAATAGATCCAAATGCTAAGAGTAAGAGAAGTACAGAGAGGCTTATGTGAACAAATGTAATAGTGTTGTAGCTTACTCTTTTGATAAGCTCTAGAGGTTGCATCGAGAGTCTAATCTCTTCGGCTTCCTTCACATACTGAAGCTTAGCTGCAATTTATCAAATGTATTGAAGTGAAACAAGAAAGCCAAAAAAAGAAGAAGATAACTAGGCTTAACTCATAGATGAGGAAGTAAGAAGAAATACATCAACAGTCTTCCAAAATAGATTACATTCAAAGTTTTGATTTTTTTTTAACAGACATAAAATGTCCAAAATTCAGACAACAGTTCCATGGAAGGACAGGAACTCATTTTTAAGTGTCATAAATTCATTTTAAGGACAGCAAAAGAGATAAAATTCAAAGTTTTGATTTTTTTTAACAGACATAAAATGTCCAAAATTCAGACAACAGTTCCATGGAAGGACAACAACTCACTTTAAGTGTCCTAAATTCAGCTCAAGAGACCAAAAAAAAAAGATTTTTTAATTTAATATCGATTCTTAGCATCCATAGAATCAGTTAATCTAGTAAGAAGGAATCCAATCCATATGGAAATCTAATGAAAGAGATCCAGAAATCTTAACAAGGGTGTGAACAGAGATCCGAGAAAGACCCCATCACAAGATGATCGCTAAAGCACCAAACTTTGAATCCAAATTCGATTGAATTTCCAGAGAAAGAGAGAAAGATAGGAATAGGCAACAAACCTGACACGAGTCGGCGAGAGGAAGAAGTGAAAAAGCCTTGAAGGAGGACGAGGAAGATGAGAAGGTTGATGAGTGTGAGAGCAATTGTGGCGTTTTTGAATGATAATAATTTCATACGCCATTGATTATGATGACTATGATGATCCATTCTTCTCCAGTTCTCTCTCTATATGTGATTTCACAAAAGCTTTGAATTTCTCAAGAATCATCTACAAGACTTAACTACAAGTCTTTTTTTACTTCAGTTTCTTTTTTTTTTTTTTTTGGACTCATTTTTCTTTATCTTTTTAAAGCTTTGGTTGGACTCTTCAATTTTCAAGTCTATTTCTTTTCTAGGTAACCATTTAACTATGCTACATGTGCATCCCATAGGCATTTGAAAAATTTATCTTTGTGATTAGGTAACATGAATCCAAAACATTTCTTCTTTTTAACCCTTTATTATATGTTCAACTGGATTATCTTTTATACTATCAGATAATACAATCTATCATATTAAGAAACAAAAAAAACTAAAAAACCAAATAATATCTTTTATACATATCACCAGTATACTTTCTCCAAAGAGTATGGAGTAACTTGCCAAACTCAAATAAACATAACAATGCTAGCTTTGCAAGTGAAAGCTAAACAGGTTTGTTTCTTTCTCTATCCTTCTGTTCTTGATGTCTTGGACCTGCATTAAGAATGTTTTAGCCTGGTTATTCTTTATTGGTCGACAAGAGAAATTAAGAAACCAGAAGAATGTTCTTTTAAAAACATACCAAGTCCATTAGCTTCAGAAGTTTCCATGATCCGAAGCCTTTTCACTGAAGTGACAAACATTCTAGTAACAAAAAAAAAAGCAAAGCAGAAATGATTTAAGATCTTAATAAAGACTAATATAGGTTCTCTAATACCAAGCCATTTCTGGATTCTTACCTCCATGGAACATCTCCCACAAGCATCCAGTCTCCTTCCTTATCTTCATAAGTGAGTACAAACTCTGATGATCCATCTAATAGTCTTAAGGGTTTCTTCACCTTTTTCCCGTGAATTAATACCTGTCACTCCGAAGAACATTTCCTCAAGTGTCTGAGCCAAGTTCTCATAAGACGAATGAGCTCTCATATCCACTTTCCTGCCTATACCAACTCCATCCTTATTCACTTTCACAAACCCTAAAACCATGAACTTTCACCTTCACTGAGACATCTTTAGCCACATCTTTCTTCTTCTTCCCCTCTTCTTTTTCTTCCGCTTTCTTTATAGCTTGGTTGTTCACCTTGTTCATCCTGTGTGTCCCAATTGGTGGCCATCCCACTATCTGACTGCTACACCAATACCTGTCTCTTATCCAAAAAAAATGTTAAAAAATGTCAAATCATGAATTAAGAAACCTGCTTAGAGACTGGAGTTAATCATGTCCTAATACTTCCCCATTCCAATGTAAAATGTTTTCGCTACCCCCCCCCCATTCCAATGTAATATGTTTTGGCTAAAAACATAACAATATATGAAATCTACTTTTTAAAAGATAATATCATTAAGAATATAATTTAAATTCAGTTTGTCAATTATTTTCAATAAAGTTAAAAGTTATCTCATTTTATGTTTTGGAACATCAAATATGGTATCGGGAGGAAGTGGAGGAAGTATCTGGTCTTCCTATAACAAATAAAATTTTGGCTTTCAATTTCAGAATATTTTTCATCAATTCAATTGAAAAATCAGGCATGATATTAAGTTTCTGATCATGGTTTCAAAATTATGCAACCACTTTTTTTTTCTTATTTTCCTTTCGGCCTAAATTTTTTAAAGCTTCCGGCCAAAATATTTTTTACAAGTTTCCGGGAGACCTGATACTATATTATGGAATGGAAAGATGGAAAGAGTATATAGTTAGGAAGCATCGCATCATGCCATCATGTAAGAATTCGTTTAATAACACCTCAAAAGTCTCAAGTTTTAAACAGTTCACACTGGCAAGCTTGTATTTCAGTTAAACAATTACATATTTAACTTATCAAAGGGAAACTCCTAGTTTTAAGTTTATTATTCCTTGAGAATATGGTTGTTGTCGACCAATTTTTTAAAAGAAAAAGAAAAAGAGAAAAGGAATAATTGATGGGAAAATATATGCATTAGTATAAAATCGTGGTAATGAGATATTCATCATGATGTTTGATGATCCATTGAAAACTTTTGCAGGCGAAAATTGATTTGTGGAAATTACACTTTTAATCAGAATTATTATCAAAGGAGCACACTAATCTCATGCTCTAATCCATGGCTCTCATGGAAACTAAAATCACTATTGAGATGAAATGTCTGGTTGTATCATGTATGAAGTTATGTTTCATTAACTTGTGTATAGTTTTATTCTATAGAAAACATCAAGACACCATCGTCTAAATATCTCATTCTTATATTTCTTTTTTCCACGATTAATATCATACTGAATGATTTATCAACAACAGTTATAAGATTAAACAAATCGTTTTCATCACCAATATTAACTTTTCCACCCCCCTCCAAAAATAAAATAATATAACAGGCGACCCAAAAATATTTAATATCACAAAGCGCTCAAATCATCAGCAGAGTACGTGCGATGCACGCGACCAGCCCTACCTCTCCTCGACTCATCATGATCCCCACCACCACCACCACCACCACCACCGCCACCGCATGCGAAACTGCATTCCACGCCGCAAATCTTACTGAAACACGAGAAAAGACCATTACCTCCTTCTGTATGCCTACGACTATGCTTCTTCACCGCTGGAGTTTTCCGTCTTGAACTTCTCCCTCCTGCTGGGACAATCGAACCGTCGTACTCAGTGCTGCTTACTTGGCTTGATCCTATGTCATACAACGGTGGCAGCTCCGTACGCCACCTCTGGAGTTTCGAACGTAACCCTTCCACGCTAGTTTCATCGATGCTCCACTCGCTGAGTATTGAGCTTTCCGTGTCGTGAGACCTCTCTTTTGCGATCTTCTCAGCTACTTCTGATGGTGATGGACCTAACTCCGACTGGGTTATGATTCTTCTCCCAGCTAAGTTCGATGTCCTCATCGGTGTGGACATGTAGTTTGGTCTCATTGGTGTTGATCTAAGCACGTTGGAACGCATAGGAGTTTGCATGGGAGTCATGTTGGAACGCATAGGAGTCTGCATGGGAGTCATGTTGGGATGCATGGGAGACATGGCGACAATTTTTGATCTCATTGGTGTTGACCTAACTCCGTTAGGTGGCATTGGAGAAGATGCGACGATGTTAGATCTCAACGGCGTTCCATGTCTTGATAAGTACGGCGAAGCTCTAGCCTTAACTGGTCTATGTTTCTCGACGTTAATTGTCACTTTCTTAGGTGTTTTACGTGACGAATGATGGTATGACACGTCATGACTCTCCCTTTTCGTTACCACCGGATCTATGAAGTCTGGTTCGTATATATGCTTAATGACTTTATTAGTAGGTCCATTTTCTTTTATCTCCGTGGCATCAGTATCCGTAGTGGTTGGTTCAGTTTCAAATTCTTCGCTGCTTACTAATGCGCTTGCTGGCTGTTTAGCTAGGCGGCTACGTTCAACTCTGCTTAAGAGATCAGAAACAACCATTGAGCTTGTATCACTCTTTGTACGACGAAGCTCTGGTCTAGAGACAACAGATTGAAACTGCCTAGAAGACGGAGATTGTGGATTCTTGGAGCTTCCTTTGTTACTATTTAAATGCAAATGTTGTAGATGACGATCCTCTTCACCAAGAAGATCTCTATACCCTACAGCAGATGAGTCCATATGTGTATAGAGAGGCATGCTTCTCATGGAACCATCAAGTACTCCAACACCAATGTTGAGAATCCCCTGAGGACGACCAGAGGCACGACGAACTTGAAGCGCGACGAATCTCATCCCTTGAGGTGGCGTGCGATGGTACTCGTTGGTGTTGGTTCTGTACCCTGGACGACGAGTAGGAGGGATGAGGTTGCTGATGAGGACACGGACTGTGCCTACGTGGACGTCTCGGAACCAATGCAAAGCGTAGATTTCGATGACTACGGCTGAAGTGTCTGAGTAGAGAAACTCGTCGTTGACTCTGAATACGAATTTGTCGTTCCATGTTGGGTTTGTTTCGCCGTTGTAGTCGACGCGTGTGGTGAGTTTACGTTCGGGGTGGACCCATGCGACCGCGTAAGTCTTGGTCTTGCGGGAGACGGGAGCTAAGTCTTGAGCTGAGATTATGTTCAGCTCTAGGAGCTGAAATGATGGGAACATCATCGACATATTGTGATCAACAGATCTTTTTCTGATGGATCTTTATATGTTTTAATATTTCGGAGGGGTTTAAAGAGGAGGAGAATTAAAAGATGAAGAGTTAGATCTCTCTCTCTCGTAATTCTTGATTCAAGAATTTGAGAAGTTGAATGATGAAGAGAGATTTTTGGTCAATGATTGTACTTTTGAGAAAGGTAATAAGAGCCATTGATTTTTCTCATCTTTATAAGAAGTAATGTTGGGTTTGTATTAGGGAGAAAGACAACGAATCGATTAGAAGTAGTGTGGTGTTATTCAGCTAAGGTTTTGCTTATATTAGGAGATGACTCGTAAGAATTAAGTTGGCATTAATTATCAAATTTTGCATCAAAGTTGTGTGCGTTTTTGTGCTGTCAATAGTGTGAGAATATCTAGATTTCTATTTTAGAAAGACTGGAATAGATTTTAGAACTAACACATGGTCCATAATAAAACCTTTGAAACACGTTATTTGTAATCCTACTCAATTATTTACTACTAGGCTTTTTTTGTCCACCATTAAATTTTGACAACTTGTGTACTAAACATGTACATCAAAGATTTATAAAGGATTCATTGGATGGGTTCATGATTTTCTTTTATAAAAAAATGAAAAATGGGCTTTAATCGGTGAACCGTGTCTCTAATTCGGTTGGGACATATGAGTTTTTGTAGCCAACCACAATAGTCATATCTACGGGTCCCAGCCAACCTTCCGCTTTCAAACTTTCTAAAATTTGGTCATAAAACTGTTCGACAGGGAAGTCATGTGGCGAGGCTACACTTTCGTAGTCCAGCAACACTTTTATATTTCGATTTTCAATCTTCTTCTGAAAACACTGCAGGAAGAAACGAAAAAAACATTTGTTAAAAGTCAATTCTATATTAAACCTTTACAAACCTTATGTACGGGATCATGTTTGTGAAGAGTTCTACCCATTGGCTGAATGAGGCTTTGGTAGTGTTGCTCTACATGGTTATATGACCTTTTAAAAATATACTAGATTTTGACCCGTCCTTAAAAGGGCGGGTATATTTTTATTTTTATTTCTTTTGAAAAATTGAAATTTTATATTTGTGTTGTAATCATATTTATGTTTAATTATTTATCAACAATATAACAAACTCAATATTATAATATAAATGATTATTATATGAACAATAAATTGTTGGACCATAGATTTATCAATAGATCATGTTTCTGTTTTAATAGAATAGATAAAACATAATTTTTTATCGAGTTACTGACAACTAATTTAAATTTAAACTAGGTGAAAAAATAAAAAGGAAATTAATGGAAATCTAATTAACAGAAACAACTAAGTAAAAGAAAAACAAATTTAATAATAGTATAATTAGTATTATATTTAAATTCATTAAGTGTACACATTAAACTATATTCTTTTAATGAACACATTAAACTATAAATTTACACATTAATTGTGCTTTGATAATCTAGAGAGGCGGGAAGAATTGTATTAATCACGTCAGAGCCTTCCTGCAGCAAATATATATTTTATATGAGAATCCAAGTGTAAAAGTAAATAGTGTTTCAAAAAAAAAACATACATTATCAGGGCTGGACCCAGAAAAAAATATATGGAAATATTTAAATGGGTAGTTATAATATAATTGACACAAGATAGTTATGGTTTACAAAAAAAAAAAAGATAGTTATGAAATATATTTTAGAATTTGATTCTAGAACACTGCCGATTTTGAGTACAAAACAAAAATTGAATTTCAGACCACAATTATTAGCAAGACTGTCTCAAATAAATTTTAGACCCTGTTCAAAAAAATTAACGATATATTTTTGATTTAATGATTTTTTTTAAACACTAATAACTATGTTTGATGTTTCTTTAAAAATTATAAGTTCTAATCTAGCAATATATCTAATTTTTTAAAAAAATTATCATAATTTATCTATATATTTCTTAAAAGTTCTTAACTTTTCATTATTTTTTCCTTATTTTTATATTTTTTATATTTGGGATCATATTCAACCGCTCCACTTACACAGGCTATTAAACGGCCATGATTATTAGGTATTCTTTATTTTTACAGAATATTTATTAGTCTACTCATAAGTATAGTTTTCATTCACAAATTATTATTTAGCTTATAGCTCATTATTTGTCTAATCTAATTTCTAATTATTTTGTGGTCCTTATAATTTACGGGTATTAGCCGTAGATCCGCCCCTGTAACGTTATGAACCATGATTCTGCAGTTGAATATCGTCGCAGCTGTATACAATTCAATATCCCCCCCCATTCACCATTTCTTGCCATACGAGCACAGTAATCATCTAGTGAATCACCATGCACTAAAAAGTTCTGGAAATCTCTTTGGTTCTGTATAAAAAAAAAATATATTTTTTTTGAAAAAGAACCAACAATAATATGTTTTATTGTCTTAGTTGAACATGGTTGAATAACTTACTTGAATATGGTTAACTATCAACACGCGGTAGAGAGAATACTCATTCTGATCCCCCTTAATCTGATGAGAGAGCACGGAAAAGACAATTTCCGTCTTTGGCTATTGCTACAGGCTTTAACGATGGAGAAGGAACGGACGGAGGCCCACCCGAATAAGACATTTTTACGAAGGAAAGCTGTAAAAGATTTTTTAAAAAGCTTAAGAGAGAGGAATGCAAATTTGGAATACTGAGAGAGAAACAATTAAGAGGAATTGTATCTAAGAGGGGAGTAAATTTATAATTTTGCAAAAAGTTAATTGACGACCCGGAATGACGATTATACCCTTGTTGCAAGGAGATTATGTTTCTTTTACTTCCTTTTTAATGTTTTTTTTTAACGCTTGATAATTATGCTATTACAAACTATATGAGAAATATTACAGACGATTCTACAGCCAACCATTTTACCTGCTTTATGAGGATTCACGCATGACTGCATCACCTGAGCCGTCCTATCGGATCCACCCTGGACGGTATTCCTTACGCCATGTTACAGATCTATTGTAACCTTTTTCTCTTTTAATTCGCATAATTTCACCTTTCCTGGGATTCGAAACCCAGACCTCCTGATGTAGAAGCATTAATGAACTCTTAATCAAACTACTGGACCAAAGGCGCTTCCACACTTTTTTTAATATTATGTATAAAATATAAATTATATTTAATTCGTTTTTGCTACTACAAAACTATCTGACAGTTCAGATTTTCTCTTAGAAGTTTTACGAGTTTGTGAATTCTCCATGTTGGTTAAGTCGAAAATTTAAAGCAATAAGACTTTTTATTATATAAAAAAAATTATGTTAAAAAGAACAAAGTTGAATCGGGTAACTAATACTACTTTTAATTTTTGATTGTGATATTTACTTGAATTTGCTTCTAATTTTATATGGTTCAATTTAACAGTTCAACTACCGGTCAATTGTGACAATTAATTGGACCAATAGAGTAGCATAAAATAACAAACAATACTGGAAATGGAAACTAACTAATGAGATCGCTTGACCAAAAAAAATAAAGAAAGAAGAAGAGTGGTTAAACTACCAAACCTACACGAAGCACATCATCACGTATCATCAGCTCTCATGGCAGAAGCCATTGCTGTCCGTCTTGCGGTTGTTACTGCCGCTTATTCAAACGTCTGATCCCTTGCAGTTCTCTCTGATTCCCTTTCCCTCATCAAGCTTTTGAATAGTGGCGGTTCTCAGTCTAAACTTTTCGATATCATGTTTGATATCTATCACTACTTATCGTATTTTGATGTTATCTCTTTCACTTATATCTCTAGGAACTTTAATGGAGAAGCTGATACAGTGGCTAAATCAGCCCTCTCCTTGCTTGTAAACGATTCCCCCTTGAGGGTGTAAACTCTAATCTAGTAATGCATGTTGTTTGATCAAAAAAAAAAAAAAAAGAAGAAGAGTGGTTTAGTGGGGTAAAACGGTACGTTTTCTTTGGTCAAACTTTTGTCGACACGCTCTCTTCAAAACACTATTACAAGATGCAATGATAATTTACTAGAGTTGACAAAATTACTCGGCATATTTTTTTATCAATCATAAAGTTTTGTGTAGAATCATGATTTACATTCACTTATTCTATAATGCAATGATAATGAAGGATTTGTTTGTTTGCTATGTTCAAATTCAATTGATTTTTGTTTTTGTAAGGAAGTGAGTTTCATTTCTTTGGAATCAAGAACGACCCAAAAAGAAAAAAAACACAAGAAAACAGAGCCTTTATCACATTTAGATAGCTTCAACTATTTACAAGATGAGAAAATAAAAGACCAATTCTCTCTGAGAAGAGAGACAAACTGGTACACGGAGAAAGAATAAACAAGGGGAAGAAGAAAAAACACCAAGAAAAACTACTAACTGAATGACCTATAGAAAACCATATTCCAAAGAATAAATACCAAATCTAAGCTTCAGCTTTTATCGGATTCACCGATATACTTTCTTCAAAATAGTATGGAGTAACTTGCCAAACTCAAAAAACCATAACAATGCCAAGGGAAGCTAAACAGAGTTGTTTCTTTTTGTCTCCTCTTCTTGATGTCTTGTAGCTGAATTAAGAATGAGTTTCAGTTGGGCTTTTCTTTATTGGTTGAGAATATAAGTCAATAAACCAGTTACATACCAAGTCCACTAGCTTCCGAGGTTCCCATGATCCCAAGCCTTTTCACCGAAGTGACAAACATTCTAATAACAAAACACAAGGCAAAAATGATTTTAAGATCTTAATAAAGAACTAATATAGGTTCTAACACCAAGCAGGTCAAAGTCTCGATTCTTACCTCCAAGGAACATCGCCCACAAGCATCCAATCTCCTTCCTTATCTTCATAAGTCAGTACAAACTCTGATGATCCATCTAATAGTCTTAAAGGTTTCTTCACCTGTCATTCCGAAAAACCTTGAACATTCTTCACCTTCATTGAGACAACATCTTTAGTCTCATCATTATTGTGTGAACTTATCTGACATCTTTAGCTGTCAATAGTGTGTGAATTTCTAGAATTCTATTTTTAGAAAGATTGGTATGGATTTTAGAACCAACTCATGGTCCAGAATGAAACCTTTGAAACACGTTATTTGTAACTGTACTCAATTACTTACTACAATGGGCTATTTCGTGGACCATTGAATTTTGACAACTTGACTACTTATGGATCTGACTTACGGGAGTCAACACTCAATAACCGAGTTCATGTGAGGAGCGAATGGTGCGCCTGAGATAAAGAGCTAAGCAAACTCATGTGGATGTCTCACCTCTTTTCATTGGTTTCTAAACCATGAGTAGTAGTAGACACACAGTTTTCTAAATCTGAGCTCAAAACCCAAACAAATCAATATATAATTTACAAATGCTATTGTCAAAAATAAAAAAAAATAAAAAAAAATCTACAAATGCTATTTCAAATCATACAATGATTTTTTTTTAAAATCCACAACGTCAAGGTTTTGCAATATTTAAAAAGAAAAACTGAACCAAACTTAGAACTATTTAGCATTGATTGGAGTGATGGGGTGAAATAAAAAGAAAGCAAACTTAAGAGAGAAACTTGTAAAGAATAAAATAATACAAGGGTACTTTGCGGAAGATTGCCGTTTCCCACATGAAATCTAATCAAAACCTATCCTCTTCCCCCTGTCTGAAAGACTCAGTCTTCCTTCAATCGTTGTCTCTTGGAGGGTCCTCCGTATCAATGTCCACAAATCCCATTTAAGGAATAACACAACACCTTCCAAAACTCAAACGACCCACCAAAAAAAAATCGAATCTTGAAACCAAAGTTGAAGACTTTGAAGATGCTCAAGAGCGAACCATCTCTCTCAATCTACTGCGAATCCGTAAATGATCTCAAACCCGAAGAGGCAGTCACTAGCTTCGAGGAGAAGAATTTGGATAGAACGGTTTCGATTGGTGACTCCGTTGACGCTGACTTCAGCTTTGCTAAGCACAGCAGCATCGATACCTTAACGATCAAGGAAGAGGAAAGGTTTGAGATTGAGAGGCCGCAAAGTCCTCCTATGCATTTAGCTGCAGGGCTTGGGGTTGATAAGTTTGATCTTTATAGTGGTGAGGTCAAGTTTGACTTTCCGAGTTTTGATGATGAGAGTTGTGGTGAGTACTATAGAAGGATGCTTGAGGAGTATCCGTTGCATCCTTTGCTTCTTAGAAACTATGCTAACTTCTTGGAGGTACTTTTTGATTAGCTCATGTCTCTTAATTTTGTGTTTAGTAATAGTAATGACTCTGTTTTAAATTGTGGATTTACAGTACAAAGGAGATGTTAATGGAGCAGAAGAGTATTATCATAAGTGTACTGTGGTTGAGCCTAGTGATGGAGTTGCTTTGGCGAATTATGGTAGGTTGGTGATGAAGCTTCACAAGGATGAAGCTAAAGCGTTAAGCTACTTTGAACGCGCTGTTCAAGCATCTCCTGAGGATAGGTTCTCTTTTGTAACATACTTCATCTTTGTTTAAAACAATTGGTTATTTACTTAACTTGAGTTTGTGTGTATGTGTTTTTCTTCTTCTTTGTTTAGCAATGTTCTTGGAGCATATGCTAGTTTCCTCTGGGAGATAAATGATGAGCAGGACGATGAGGATGATGAGTCTTTCGGAGACAGAACTCAGCAAGGAAAAGAAGACTTTCAGGTATCTATCTCCACCTTTTATATTAGCCTTGACATTCATTCTTGTAGACATGTTAGCTCAAAGGAGTAGGGTTTACATGTATATAGATTTGAGTGTGTGCCTGTGGTCACTCATAAATAGGCTTTTAGTTTGAAGAGGCATTAATGTCGAGTTTTGATTATGTACAGCCTGAGGTAGGGGAAAAACGCAGCTCAAGGTTGTCTGAAACGGTAGATGGAGAAACGCTCTGCAGATACGCGAAAGCGTTTTGGAGTATTAATGGTGACAAGGAGAAGGCATTGTTCTATTTCGAGAAGGCCGTTGAAGCCTCTCCAAATGACAGGTAACAGTTACAAGTAAGAATTAAATCTCTCTTACACAAACTCTTCACTGAAAATGTGACCATCTTCTTCTTCTGTGTTTTGTTGGCAGCATTGTACTTGGAGAGTACGCTCGGTTCCTATGGGAAATAGAAGAATGATGATAAAGATATCTCTAAAGTCTCACACGTCCATAAGATCTCCTTTGTAAAGCAAAAGCTATTGTTATATTAGCTTTTATGCTAATGCAGCTTCACTCATTTGCTTTAATGTCTTGTATTCTCAGAATCCTTTTAATATCTCTTGCGTGTTCAAATGTTTTTTTGAATGATAAACCTAATCAATGTAATGTAAATGCTTCTTGTTTCACATAGTTTTATTCTCACATAGTTTTAAGATAGTCTAAAAAGAATGGAAACTATAGTTATGGACCTTAAGGCAATGTGTAGCTGGTCAGATGAAATAGTTAGTGTAACTGATTGAGAAATGAGAATAAACAAAATCCTTTTCTTCACATATTTTTTGGAAAGTGTTTTTTGAACATTTGAATGGTCAGTGCATCAACCACAAAACCTTACTTTCCAAGAATCTGAACTAACAAGAACAAAATAAAACATACAACAATATTCATAAAATTTTAAAAGTTTGGACTAAGGAATCTAATAGCACCTCAAAAAGAAAAAGAAAAAATAAACTTGTGCTCTCTCTTTGATGGGATTAGACTCTTTTTTGTTCTCTTCCTCCTCAAATCTTCAATAATCTGCCAAAAAAGATATCATTGTGATGAACAATTTAATTATTTATTATTCTTCATCACATGTGCATGTGTTTGTAGTTTGTAGGTATGCATGTATGTAAATAGAGAGAAAGGGGAGGTACCGTCATGTTTCTTCTTCATCAAGTTTTTGGCAAAAAGCAAGCAAATGACAAGAAAGCCAACACCAGCAGCTCCTCCCACTATTATTGCCACCGTCTTCCCTGTTGCTCCTGTCCATTTTATTTGTTTTTTATTTAGTTATCAAATATAAATATCAAAAATACTGTACACTATATTTTTCTAAGTACTTTTGAAGAAAATAATTAGTGGTAGACCATTTCTAAGGAGTGATCTTTATGAAGCATACTTAAAAAATTATTTTCAAAAACTCATGGGTAGAAAAGTATTTAATGAAAGCATGATAAATAAAGTATAATTGAACTGCATACATACCCATATGGGCTAGGAATCTTATGAAGTTTAATTGAAAACTCCAAGGAATAACTGTTACCAATTAATATAAAAAAGCACACATTTCTCTTTCGTTAAAATAATTAACGTACTTTAATATTTTAGACTATAAACTAACACATTCGAATTAAAGTGAAGTTTAACTTCAAGATTGATGTAAAAGTTAGTAACATTATTCTTAAGAAGTTTTGTTATCACCTGTAGAAGAAGGATCTGAACTCGAAGAACCACCACCAGAGCTAGACGAGGAAGATGATGAAGAAGAAGATCTCCTTGGGACACCATTAGGGTAATAGCTATAAGCTATAAAACACTTATGAAGATAAATCTGACCGGAGATTGCGGTTCCACACTCGACCTGAGCTTTCTCAAGCGCGTTCTTAACGCAACTACTACAATCTGAATCTCCGACATCACCTTCACATTGTCCTAAAACGTAAACAGACTCGTACGTTGTCGCGTAGAATCCATGCCCCGAAACGACACCGTTTTGCATCACCCCGAAGGCAGTGTCCCTCCTCTCCTCGAACCCTGTTCCTGCTATGTTGTTCTTCCCACATGTCTTGAACAACATCTCCATCCCTGTTGATAAAATTAAACCGGAAACTGATGTTAAAAAGAAACCAAACCGGAATTGATGTTAAATAAAAACTAAACCGGAATTTGATGTTAAAAATAAACCAAACCGGAAATTGATGTTAAATGACAACTAAACCGGAAATTGATGTTAACACTCATACACAGCAAGGTGCGGCGGTTCATATAATTAACCGACCAATTGGTTAAAATGAATAAACCGGTAATTGGTTAGAAAATATAAACCGACGAGCCATAATTAGGAATTTAATATCCGGTTCGATTAAAGTAGAAAGAGTTGGTTAACCTGAGATTTGAGAAAAGCCAGCGACTTCATAGAGAAGGTAACAGCCGGAGAGCTGAACTCTAGAGGCAATGGTTTTGCCGCAAAGCTTGTCGGAGAGAACAGGAAGGCGGCTAACACAGTTGTAACAGTCGTGGTTGGTTAAATCTCCTCTACACTGGAAGAGACCAGTGATAGTGGTTTGGCTTGTTCCAGTGGTGGTCTTGTAGAATCTTGTTTTAGTGGACTGAGTGACCAATGAGCCGAACATAGCGGAGAGAGCTTGTGAGTATAAGCCAGATGGATCTGAGAACTGCTGTTTCGCGCATCCTTTGTAGATTAAGGTTGTGTACTCTGTTGTTGCTGATTCTATGAGGTTGAGATCTGAAAAGAGTAGAGTTATCAAGAAGAGTAATGAGATTGAAAGACCCATTTGTGTGTGTGTGTGTGTGGATTCTTTGAGTGGTTGTGTGGTTTCTTTTTATCTTTGGGGGGAAGAAAAGATTGGGAAGATCAAATCATAGGCTTTCTCATTGTAGGTATTGAAAGATGGGAATCTTTGTGGGATTTTCTTGGAGTGTTGGGTTTTTATGGGTTTTTGAGTTTTGTGTAATTGGTTGCTTGGTGGCTCAGTAAAGCTTTTTTAGTTTTTGTTTCTGTCTTCTAGGTTTCTGGGTTTCTTGTTTTTGGATTTGGGTGGCCACTCTTTCTCTCTCTTCTCTAACACATGTGACAAGAGATTAGGAGATAAATAAAGAGCCAGAGAGAGAGAGAGAGAGTCCTTTTTTTTTCCTTTAAATGCTTCTGGGTTATTCAGTTCTGAGACTGTACAAGTTTGATTTTACTGCTGCAGCAACGCAATAAATAACTATTGATTGAGAGCTTTAATATCAGTTTATTTATTGCTTAGCCACCTTTTAACTAGTGGCTCTTTGAATCTAATTCAAAGTTAAAAAAGTCATTTTCAATGGAGTGACTATCATGTTGAGTGGTTGGTTATTTTGGGAACTGGGTATAGAAAGATACATTACAAACTTTCTTGCAATTGATAGTTGATACTTAAGCATGTTAATGAAAGATTAACTACTAACGGAATTACAAAAAAGATGGGCAATAAATAGAAAATCAGAAAGGGAGTAGAGAGTCTTGGAGAGGAATCTGAGCTTGGTGGGAGAATGGGAAGATTGTGAAGTGTGTTTTTTGACCATTGTGTTCTTTTTACATGGGTTTTCTAATTCCTATGAACCACCTACACTTTTCTTCTTGTCTTCATTTCATTGTCTTAAGAAGAAGACTCGTAAATCATGTGCGTTGTTTGCAAGAATAATTGTATACAGCAAGAGAGAGCTAACTTTCTCTCTGAAACATGAAAAACTTTTTATGGATTCTCTCAAAACAAGGAGACATAGATGAAGTGCAGATTCTTACTCTTGAATCCTTGATGATGTTATGATCTTTTGGATAAAGAGACAGGAGTTAAGGTGTGAATGTGATTGTGAAAAGACCAAACAGGAATTTTAAAGATACAACATAAATAGAGGGAATTGGGAATTTAGGCTACTCTCTTGACGGTGAGACTTGGGGAGGAGGCATCTATCTATTCATGAATCTTGAGCAGAATCTTCAGTGCTGTCATCGCTAGGTAAACCGAATATCCTGAGATTACGGTCCATTGAACCGACAGCTACGTACTTGGCGTCGGGACCAAACTTAACACATGTTGCTCTACCTGCAAGTTCATGGATTTACAATGTCTGCATATTAGACTCAAAAGAAAAAAGGAAGAGAAGAGCAGTGAGTTTAAAATCTTAATCATAAGACATACCTGTACCGGATAGATCAGGAAGTGTCTTGACTGGGTTCCACTCTGCTTTAACACTGGCCGTTTGGAAAACTCTGAAACGTTGAAATGCAAAAGTGTTATTGTTTGTATGGATGAATGATCATTTTATCATAGCGTTCTTGAATTTGCAAAACTATCTATATGAATATTAAGTTATCGAAGTGAGCCACTGAATCTCGCACTGTTTGTATCAATGTACACCTCACCTTATATCTGAAGCAGCAATGCCAAGATAAGATCCGCTATGGTCAAACTCGACTGCAAAATAAATTTCAATTCATGTCTTTAGAATTGAATACCACAATCAACAAAGTGGACTGGTGTGAGGTGCTCAGGTAGTTTAGTACCTGAGTTTGCATTTGGGAAATCAAATGTTCGGAAGTTCTTTAGCTTGCGCAAGTCCCACAATCTAACACCATCCAGCGCAGATGTCTGAACAATTTCAAGAACAAAGAAAAAACAGGTCAGTAAAAGGGGACGCCGGTGATCTTCATCTTTCTGTTTAGTTGGGTCAAAGTACCAACCGCGAGGAAATAACCATTTTCAGAAAATGATACAGACGTGATTTCTCCAGTGTGTCCACCGAACTTCGCCACGTTTGCCTATTAGCCAACAGAGATAGATGAAATTAAGAAGGGAACAAATGGGAGAATTCTAAAAACGCTTGATGATCTTAAAAGTTGATGGGCAAGGAAGATCAAGGGGATTTTACCTGACTCTTTACATCCCAAATTTTGACAATAGATTGAGCGGTACCAGTTCCAAGAATGAGACCATCAGGATGGAAAGCGGCAGCCGTATAATCCACCTTTTCGGAATCATCTGTTACCTGAATAATTATAATAAAAGCATGAGAAAGACACATCTAAGAAAAGATACGTTTCTTAGTCTTATTTCAGGTCACCCTTGTACAACTAATGTTTCCCAGGCTTTCTCAACCAAGAGAAAATCGGAGCTGGAATAACATGTATCAGTGGCTTGTAGATAAGAAGTTTGCGAACCTGGGCAAGGCATAAACCAGAGGATATATCATAGAAGCACCACGTACTGTCAAGCGATGCCGACACAAAGTATTTGTTCGTTGCATGGACAGTGACAGCTCGCACCTGAAAAGCACATCATTGTTTTTACGTTATAACAGAACTAATACAGTACTACAGGTAAAATGTGACTGTAGCCTACGTTCTTCAATTTAATCCTTACCTCTGCAGTGTGATCTTTCAATGTATGTCTACAGGCATAGTTCCCATCCTCTGAACTCCCCCAGATACGGACTGTCTGCAATGTGTAAAATAAAAAAACAAAATCAGACGACCAGTGATGCATATAATTATGATCAAACTGAACATAGAGAGACGTCACATAATCAATGGTGTGAAACAAAATTATGTAGAAATGCATCAAGCTAGATATTTAAACAGAGGTAGCATCACGAGTTATATAGTCTAATCAGTTTTTCAAAGATGACATGATGACTTTTACAGACTAGATTTCACAGAAGTTGCGTGACCAGAAACTAAAAGCATTTCTATACTACTTGTTAAGATCATGCAATGCTCAACAAAGGACGATAAAGTCCTACAGAGATGTAGAAGCACTACACACTGAAAAAAAAACATCGGATTTCAGGCCTGTACATAACAATTTGGGCTTACCTTGTCTGATGAAGCAGTCAAAACAAGGTCAGTGTCACCTACAAACTTAATACTAGTAACCTGCAAAGCGAACAATGCATGTCAAGCACAAAATTTAAGAGGAAAATTTAGAGGGAAAAATTAGAAAATACGGCAAAATACATACCTTCTTTGAATGACCAGTCAACGTTGAAAAGATTTGTCCTGACGGGCGATCAAAGAGAACGGCAGTTGTATCCATTCCTCCTGTCGCAATGATATCCTGAATACCAATTCTATGTAGTGACTTCCCAGAACAGATGACACATCAAGTGATGAGTGAAAAATGAGAAAGTTCCGGGTGACAAACCTTAGAATGCAGGATGTCCATTGAAAATATACCAGGTTTGTTGGTCTTATGAAGTGGGTGGCTTGAGAGTTGAGTGAACTTCTCCAGAGCATCAATTGAAGCCAACGTTGGAGGGATCTAGCGAGCCAAGGAGGAAAAAGTATCAAGACAAAAAGGCCAGGGGCAGAATCTAATAAACACACAAAATACAAACTCCAGATCCGCTAAACGGCAAATACAGAGTTCACATACAATTCTCTTATGAATTCTACTTTTCAACCAAGATACTAACAGATCTGAAGCTATAGTATTACCTGTCTCTTTTTACGCTGCTGGGAAAGAGCAGCATTACAATCCGTCAGCTCGGTAATAACTTCACCCGAAATTCCAAGACGCATTTTCTTTGCATCAGGACCTTGTTCACCACCATCAGCAGCTATTTGCAACAATAGCATAGGCAAATTGTTACAAGAAAGAAAATTGACTACATAGCCAACTTATTTTGATAAGAAAATGTACAGACATGTAATGTGTAGGCATACCTCGTTTACCATTACTAAGATTAGCATTCGCTGTGGCAACTTCAGGGACTGCAGGTAACTGCCTATCAGCCTCTGCAAGCAATTGTCGTGCCTCGTCTCTTTCTTTTTTAAGCCTAGCAATCACACGACAAGCAGCATCGTGCTGCAAACAGACGGAAAAGTGTACCCCGAAATAATCCATCAAACACCTTTTTCAATACTAATTAATGGAAAGATCCAGAAACAAGCAATATTCGTAAATCATATCAGGTGGTGTCACAGGTAGTCAAGCATGGTAATAATTACCTGATACAAAGCATGACTTAGCTCTTGTCTCGCAGTATGCAGTTGTTGTTCAAGTGAAAAATTTGATAGCATCAAACCATCCCACTCCTGAAAGCACAAAATATATATGAACTTGTGCATTTATTTTTGCAGAATTCAACATGACAGTGAACAATCCTCTCCCGACAGAAGTAACAAATGAACGAATAATTCAAGCACCAGCTGAAGTAAAGAGTAGAGTGCAAATTTGCTATGTTAAATAGCTTAAACAGACACGTGGAATTAGCCTTGTATACTCTATCAAGCTCATAGATCAATATCATTCTACTCTACATCATCCTTAACAGACAGAAAGGAAAATTTAACAGATTGAACAAAAGTGAAAATAAGCATAAAGCCACAAAAAAAAACATAAAAGCTTACAGTCTGGAACGTTCCGAGCAATCCAGGGATGCTAGCTGTGTGTAATGGCTTTGGCTTTACAATCTGAAAAATGATCCCAGAGAGCGAATCAGGATATAATAACTTTCAATAAACACCGCTCTGTGAGAATTTATCCAAACAGCTGCGTGTGTGTTACCTTTCCAGTTTTGATGGCAACAATGTCATCAAGTGTATGCGGCTCACCAGTAACTGGACATTTCCCAAAATCCTACAAGGTACCACAAGCACAATTATAACCACACAAATCATTGACCTACACACAACGAGTTTTCATCTTGAAAACCGGATACAAAGTTTCAATATTTGACCTTTATGCAATATACCAAGCTGATAAGGACCTTACAAGTTTCCCACAGTACTATACAACCACAATCTCACAAACCAAAATTTTGAAAAATACGCAGATCATAAGAGAATAAACAGCTGAGAAAACCCTACATAGGAGTCTAATCGCGAAGAGCTTACAGAGATATGAGTCTCGATTAGGCGCTTCTCGTAGAGCAAACCAGACTTCTTCGAAACCACAGGCTCCACCGGAACTTCCCCGGAAACTATACGAGAAAACAAACCACAGTGTTGTCAACAACAGATACCACACAAATTAAAAACCCTAAATCGGCAAATCGAGAAGAATGAGAAAAGCGAGAAGATGTCTTACTTGCACAGTTCATCTTAGTATGAACGAAGAAGAAACAGAAGATCGATTGGAATAAGAAGACGCAGCTCCTGAGCTAGGGTTTATCTCTCTTACTCAAGTCCGTCGCTTAACTAAACAAAATCGCGGAAGCTGGGAGGAAGGAAGCAAGACGTAGGCAAATACGTTCGAGATTTTCTTACAATTATTATTTGGGCCTTTTAATTCCACTATTTAGGCGGTTTTGGGCCTTAATCAGGCCCATTAGTAAACGAGGCGGTTCTGTTCTTCGTATATGTAAGGATCCGCGGTTAATATTTTTATTGTTTTATTTACAGATGAATCGATAAGTCTTTAGTTTATTTTGATGATATAAAATGTCACAGAGTTAAGATCAAATTATTATGCGGGTATAAATTTTTCTTTTATAATGTTTCTGACAATTTTTTTATTTTTTAAAATAAGTTAACAATGGTTATACCTGAAATGTTTACTTGATAATGATTGTATATTTAACAATTAAATGGTCTAAATTTTTTTAGTTTTGTGATTAATTTTTAAAATCATTTAGTTACAAAATTTCAATCGCTCAGTACGACCCACTCCGTCATACCAGCAGCAGGCTGAGTCTTTTTTTCGACTAAAAAATTTGATCCGTTTGACTCGCAAAGAAAATGTATTCTTACAATATTTTTTTATAAAATTTGGAAAAGAATCAGTTTATTAATAAAACTCATTAGTATATAATTTTTAGACAAAAATACCATATGTCATTAGTGAAAATAATTTTTTTATAATTAGAAAACACAAAATATTCACTAAACAGAATATTTATGTTTTAATGGAATTGATTATCTTAATTGTGATGAATGAGGATTCCCTTCACATTTAAAATATCTGATTGTTTGTGTTAAACAAGTAAACACGAATTTGATGACAACAAAAACAAAATAAACACGAATTAATAAGGAATTGCTTTTTTTGGAAGTACAAAATGAAGCTTTCAGAGAAGAACAAAGGGTTGCGATGCTTATTAATTTGTCTTCTCCCAGCTATAGGTTTTAGATTCTGATTACGAAACATACAGAATCTTATCATGATTAGTCCCGTAGTAATAGTATACAGCATACTAGTTATTAATCAATCTATGTTAATTGAATTGCTGTATGTTATCAAATATTAAACCAATTATTGTATCCTACATTGTATAGCATCTTCATTGTATATAGCTGGTGTCCTTAATTAATAAGGGAATCAGCAAGTTACTCTTTATTTAGTTATTTTGAAAGAATGCTTAAAGTACCATGCATGTTTTTCAAATTGCACCTTACGTCACCTGGATCAACATTCTATTTTTTTTGGAGGACCTCGAGTAGTATTCAGATCTATAAACTTATCTTTTCATAGTTATTTTATTTATGAACATCTTTGGTCAATATAAGAAAATGACAACTCAGTCAGAAGCATGAATTGTATGCTAAAACTATCACTATCGTATAACTCTTATCAAGAGGAAACTAGTTTCATATAAAATTTCAGTTTCGAATTTAGTCGAGCATCACGCAACTATTTTCACGGTACAGAAATATTTGTCTTTTACGTTCTAGTTTATTTAATTTCTCCATATTTCACTGACCTTGTCCTTTTTTATCTTTCCACGTCTCATCAGTTATCAGCATGAAAAAAGCAGCCATGTAAATAAATAAGAAATTTTAAAATGGAAGAAAAAAAACAAACCTTTCTAAATATAAAATAGAAAAGCCAATTATATTTGATCAAGAAAAAAAAAGCCAATTCTATAAATAAAAAGCTTAATTTAGTACAACTTCCAGTCAAAAGGTCAAAATAATCGGAAGAGAAATTGGGTCAAACTTCATTACAGGTCAACCAAGTCACCACTAAAGTGGGACCAAATTCTCCACGTCAACTCAAATTATTACGGTTTTTTCCAATCATAACACGCCACATCATGTTAATAAGAAACTCTAGGTCCAGCGCGTTTAACGTTTTAATTCTACGTGGCATTTCTCAAGGCTTTATTACATTTACTCACACCAGCTTACATATATTATGCACATATACAACCACAAAAGTATAAATAAATTGGTTACGATAACTTCCATAACCTCTAATTAGTTTCTCCAGAAAGCTGTAAGAAGTTTTCGTCTCTTCTCTCTATAAAACAGAATTGTTTTTTTTTTGTTTTGTTTAATTGATTATTATCCCTTTCTCCTCAGTATTTTAAAATTGTAGATTTTCTTGTTCAGACATCACTCCTCCCACATTCGACAAAGCATTCAAGAGGCCTCGTTCAATGGTTTCCCCTTCTCTTGGGAAATATTCTCTCTCGATTTTTTCCCGGAATTTTTTGGTATCATAGCTTTGGAGTCCATAAAGAACACACATAACGATGTCGCAGGACGTAATTTCGTCTCATGAGCAGCTCTCCATGGTAATTCTTTGCGTTTTTTTTCTTTATCTACTACCCTCTCGATAATCAATAACCTGTTGTAAGCTCTTCTTTGTGCTTTCATCGAAAACATAATATGTAGATTATGAATGTGTTAATTAATTTAGGTTCTATAGCTTAAATTGTTAAGAACATTTTATTCTAAAAACTTCGTATGATAAAGAGAATTAAGTTTGTTTTTATCATTAGTGAATTAATTTAAAAATTAACGAATGTATGAAAAAAGGTTCTTGTTTTTATTGATGCGTTTTAGTATCAGATGTTGGTTCTAACCAGGCAATGTTTTTAATTTCTGGACGCAAGAGAAACACCAGAATCCATAAACTTTCCTTTTATGGAAACCCTCCCTCCTTGTCGTTAATATGTATTTATTTATAGATTCCTCTTAATAAATACCACAAAGAATGTCCACTTCTCCTAACCGATTATCTTTTAAGTTAAATCTTTTTTTCTTGGTGTGCTGTTAAACCTAGAAAATACGACCAAGTATCTTTTCATGCAACCCTTCAACGTATGTCACAAAAAACAATCACAATAAACTATTTTGTTAATGTTTTACTCACATCTCATCTTGTTGTTTTGTTTTGTAGGATGAGATCACGAGCCCTCTCACCGCACAAATCTTCGATTTCTGCGATCCACAGTTATTTCAAGAGACCTTTAATCAAACTTCCGAAGTGACCTCTGCTTCAAACTGTTGTAGCTATGTCGAAAACAGCAACAACAATAACGTTCCAGACAAATCCAACAGCGGTTCGAATCAAGACCATGAAGACAACAACGGGGACTTATCGATTATATTCGATTCACAAGAAGATTTCGATAACGATATCACAGCTTCTATAGATTTCTCTTCTTCTATTCAGTTCCCAGTCTCTGATCAGCTTCAAGATCAGTTTGATTTCACCGGAGTTCAACTTCATCAGCCTCAGAACATGCTCTACTCTTCCTCTTCTTGTGATCCTCTGCCTCCTCCTTTATCAGTTTTCGAAGATGATTGTCTTTCTTCTATCCCAAGTTACAATCTTGGCTCCCTAAACCCTACTTCCCCTTTCTTGGGTAATTCCGGTTTACCAGCTTACATGGCTGTAACCAAGAATATGATGAACACCGGTTTAGCCGTTGAGAGATCTGGTTTTTACTCCGGTTTTGGTTCTGATTTTAAACCGTTGATGGAAATCCAGGCTGATAACGGTGGAATGTTCTGCCAAGATTCGATTAAACCCATCTTCAATCCAGGAGATCATCATCTCCAGGTACAAGAAAATGAAACCGGTTTGGTAATCCGGTTAAATATACGCACCTAGTATTTACCGGTTTGTTATTTTTTGTTTGGAATAGGCACTTGAAGGTGGCGAAAACCAGAACCACCTGCCCAAACCGGTAGGAACAGAAATAACCGGTTTAGATGACGCGAGTCTCAATAAAGTCAGCAAACTCACAGCTGAGCAGAGGAAAGAAAAGATTCATAGGTATATGAAGAAGAGAAATGAGAGGAACTTCAGCAAGAAAATTAAGGTTTCTACGCTTAACCATTATAAACCAGATTAAACCATTGGTTATCAAAATACCGTTTGTTAAAAATAAAGCTTGTTTAAAACAGTATGCATGTAGGAAGACATTGGCAGATAGTCGTCCAAGAGTTAGAGGAAGATTTGCAAAGAACGATGAATTTTCTGAACCACATAGACAAGCTTCATCAAGCCATCGCGAAGAAGACGATGATGATGTAAGATTGAATTCCGTTTTAACTATAGTTAAAACCTTATGAATTTAAGGTTAGGTTTTTAAACCGCGGTTCTGTTTGCAGGTGGGAGTAAAGGAAGAAGAACAAATGGTTGATTCTTCAGACATATTTTCACACATAGGTGGTGTCAACTCTTTCAAATTAAACTATCCAATCCAGTCTTGGATTTGAGTTAATTACGTAGTCTTAATAATCACAAATAGTAGTCTTATAGAGGTATATTTGTATATTTATTAGTGCGTTTTTTGGCTGTGACTCATTTTCATCGGAAATATTTAGAACATAAGAAAAAAATAGAGATGAATAATGGGGTTAGGTAGGCCATGATAAATAAAACTGTAGTGAGGGGAGAGTGTTATGTTACATAGAACATTACACAGGTTTGTATAGATATTTGATTATATAACATTGTATTTGATGGATGTTGTATAATAATAGTCATTTGAATATCATTTGTAAGTCCTTAACTTTTTCTTGATCATTTCTCCTAACTAGCAATTCTGTGAATTGATGTTGTTTAAGATTTTTCTAAATATAATGTATAGTACAATCTGAAACATGTTTTGAGTATAATATTTTGTACATTCATAAGTCGATATAGTATTACGCTTTCTAGATAAATTATTGAACTATGTCACAATCACGAGAGAGATAAATAATCGAATCAGAATCTCAGAATATTGTTTTATTCTAGCAAGCTTAACAATTTAGATGATGCACAACGAGTAGATCTTAAGTTTCCTACGTAACAGTCTAATAAAACCTTTTCCCCTGCATTTTTAATATTACAACTAGATTTTGAACCCGCACATCCGTGCGGCTATTTTTTCATTTTATAAAAATATAACAAAACATTTCAAATATATATAATTTATATTTTATTGTTATATATTGTATAATTGTATAATCTTATAATTTTTAATTATTTTTATATAATATATAGTTGTAAGTTTTAAAATAAAAAAAATATTCATAAATAATTTTTTATATAATGTATTTGTTGTGAGTTACAAAAATATATGTTAACATTTTTGTATAAAATATATATAACTTAAAAACTTTAATATGTTTTAAAGGGAGTGATATTTATTTATTTATTTGAATAAACTAA